AATTACCCTCCAATTTCCCTCCGGAAGTAAGCTCCTTGTTCGACCGTCAAAAATGAGCGAAGGCCGTTATATTTATTCTAATTATATGCTTTAAAACGAGCTGGTTGGTTGATTTTAAGAAGATTGAAAAAGTTGTTAGACATTTTACCGCAACCTTTAATTTAATATTTAAAGGTAAATTTTCATAATAATATCTTTGCTCTACAAGATCAACGATGGGGTTAGATTTAAATTAGGCAACTTGTTACTTAGTATTTATAGATATAGATATGACAGTTATGGATAGTTAGTGTTCGACTCGTGGTTTCACCCATTTTATATTTTCAAATTGTTTTAAGATGGAAATTAACAATTAATAATTAAATAAAAGTTTTAATTTAAAACTAAAGTCTGAGAGTGTTATATTTTAATTTTAAGAACTGTATGTGTAAGAAGTTTCAGTTTATTAATTATTCAATTATTTTATTTAATAATTCAGTTAGTTGAGTAAAGTTTTATTAATTCTTGAAGTGACTTTGATTAAATTAAAAATGATTTTATTATAAGAAGAAATGAAAAATAAAATGAAATTTAATAAAATTTAATAAATAATTTAAATAAATAAATTGTGACTGTGATGTGTGAACCAGTTTTTGATATAAATGGCGATAGGACTTGTGATGGAGTAGATGGTGTGTCCTGTGTTAGTCCAACTGGCGACAATGTTGGCCTCATTTGTGGTTTTTTATGCCTAGAACAACCACACAATAGCAATAAGTTTGTTAGAAAATATTTTGTCCTTGATAAATATGCTGACAGATTCTACTACTTTGCCAATCAATCAGTTGGTTATTTTTGCTTGTTTATTTTTCCATATAATTTTTGATTCTTTGATCTGCATATCATAAAATTATCATCACATATATATGACATATAGATGTGATGATTTATAGCCCTGACCCTTATCAGTTATGACTTATGGTTAAATTATGTTGTGTTATCGATTACGCATGATATACATATGTAATGAACCACTTTTAGGTCTGTTTATCAGATTTCATAGGTGCTCCTTAAAAGTGAACTGAAATGTATTATTAATTAACTGTATAATGATTAATTTTGAAAACTTTTAAGTTTTTCTTATTTACTTATTCAATGTTATTTAATTATTTTTTAAAAATATAGCTTTCTATAATTTTCTTTCATCATTTAACTATTCAGGATGCAAGTGATTCATCAAAGGCAGAGAGTTTTTTCAATATTTCTTACATCTCAATAGTTTGTTTGGAATAATTTTTTCTTAAAATATTCAGTATAATTAATCCGATAATTTAAGAAATAAATTAAATTAAGTAATTCGATTCAGAATGCTTGTTATAATTTTTTTTAATAAAAGATTTTCTGTAGGTGACTAATTTGAAATGAAAAATGTTTATGTGAAGTTTGGAAAAGAAATTTAAGGGAATTTTTTTAGATAAATTTTATACCGTGACACAACACTACTACTTGTTCGTTGAAATAAATTATCATTGATTTAAAAATAACCCATTTCATGTAGTGCTGCTGTGTTACTTAATACAATCTAAAGATTTATTATAATCTCTCTCTCTTCTCTCTCTTTCTCTCTTCTTTGTCTTTCTCTCTCTCTCTTCCTCTCTCTCAGATCACGTTAGATTTTATCATTATAATAATGCAACTATTAAAAGTAACAAGAGTAGTAATATTATTAATGTTACTGATACTACTACGACTATTACTACTACTTCTACTACTACTACTACTATACTTCTACTACTACTACTACTTTTACATTTACTACTACTACTTCTACTACTACTAATACTAATACTTTGGACAATATTATTATTATCAATAGTTATAAATATTAATAATAACAAAGGTAATTATAATATTAGTATATAAATAAATAATGAAATGATAATTACAAAAATAATAAACGAACAATAAATAATAATAATAATAACAATGGCAGTTACAATGTTTCAAATATTTTCTACGTGTGAGTCATTCATAATTACAAATAGTGTGTTAAAACCAAATCATTGACAATCACAAATTACAATAATTATTACAAATAGTAATAATTATTAAAGATAATAATAATAATAATTGACAGACAGGAGATGCTGCAACACACAAACCCAGGATCCCATTCTGCCTATGTATGACTTCCTTTGATCCATTTAATTTCTTTTAAACTTTTAATTATACTTAATTATGCCTAATTTTTATTATTACTATTATTTTAGTTTATTATTATTATTATTATTGCTGTTATTTTTATTATTATCACCATCAGCAATTCATCTAGCTCTTGCTTTAGTACTTTTATATCTGTTATTTATTAATTTACTAAATCATCAGAATTCATTTGTGAATTTTTACGTAGATTCTTTTTATTAGTTTTAATTTTTAATTTTATTTTTACACTAATTATCAATATTGATAATGACTCCCAGTGAAATTATTGATAGCAAAAAAACTAAAATTAAATTGCAATAAAGATATAACAGTGTCCGGTATGAAGCATTTCCTAATAGCAGACAGTGAAGATGAGAAGTTGTTGTGGATCGAGAGATTGCAGAACGCTTCCAGGGTTCAGGTAATGAATGAATGAATGAATGAATGAATGAATGAATGAATGAATGAATTAATTAATTAATTAATTAATTAATACATGATTCAGTGGGTGAGTGAATGAATGATTGAATAAATGAATTAATAGATGATTGGAAAGTTGCAGGATGCTTCCAGAGTTTATGGGATGAATGAATGATTGAATGATTGATTGAATGAATGATTAAATGAATGATTGAATGAATGGGCGTCTTAATGATTTAATAAATGTGAAAAGAATGAATGATTCAATTAAGAAATAATTTTTTGAATAAATGAATTAATGAATGAATAAATGGATGAAACTCAGATAAATGAATTAATGATAAACTTGATTTTTTTACATTCATAAATAAATGAATATATGGGTGAATTAATGATTGATGGAATTATTTAATGTACTAGTTGTATTAGCGTTTCAGAACGAAATGCGATAAAGGAGAAATTGAAATATACTAATTCCTATTATAAATAGTGTCTTGGTAATGAATTGAAAGCAATTATACAGAAAATTAAACTCTTATTTACTGCAATGTATATATATGTATATATATGTATATATATATATTTATTTTTATTTATTTATTTATTTATTACGGAGACCAGAAGTGCAAAGGCTTATATGGCCACCAAGAAAAAACGACATCAAATCAAGCAATAAAACGAAATCAAAAATTAACATGAACCAAAGAAAATTAAAATTAATGTTCATTCCAAGAAAAATAACTAACAAAATTATAAGTTAAATGAAAAATTATTGAAATCCAAAAATAATAATTATAACACGCTTTCGCCTAAACACAAACACGGATATAAAAAAAACCTTTTACATCAGTGTAAACAAATAAAAATGTTAATCTCATAAATTTGTTATAAACCATTAAGAAATGAAAATATTGAATAATAATTGACAAAATGATTGTTTTTTAAGAGGTTCAATATAATTTTTTTAAATTTAGATATATTATCCACTTGCTTTATCTCAACGTTTAAATTGTTCCACAATTTAAATCCATAAATGAATATCGACTGATTATATAATTCTGTTCTATGTTGCGGTATCCGAAACTCATGGGTATGCCTTGTTTGTTTATCATTTAAATTATGCACCATGTAATTTACAATAAAATGTGGACATTTGTTGAATTTTATGATTTAAAAAAAAATATTAAAATTTTAAGTATGTAAATTTGTGTGGGAGTTAAGATGTTAAAATTTACTCTAAAAGAAGTTACGTGATCATATCTCCGTAAACCAAACAATATTCTAATGATATAGTTCTGTAGTTTTATTAAAATATTCAAATGCGATTTGAGTCATTTTCTGGTATTTGTCAATTTCAGTATATCAACAACAAAAAAAAAATAAATATTGAAAATTAAAGTGGTTGTTGTTTGTATTGAATCTTTAATATGTCTTTATCAGAAATATGTGTTTGGCTTTGCACAACAATTGAAAAATATAAAGTTTTACTGGTTCCAAAAATAGTCTGACCAAAACGGTTGTCCACTCCTTTACCGATACATAAATGCACAAGGCTATCTTGAATAGCTTCCTATTCCGTATATTGTCATGCTAAATAGTATTAAGTATTATTGTTAATAAAACAACATTGCAATACATTACAATACTTGTGATGATTAACCAACATTTTATTTTTTCTATGTTAAATATGTGTCCACTCCTTTACTGAAATATATCTAACCAAAATTATTTCGAATATTTTTATTTGAGAAATAGCAAAACAAAATTCTTTTGAAACCAGCTATACTACTTAATTATCAAAAAAAAAACATTTATATACGAGTGTTCTCTTGCAACTTTGCTGAACGGCAATGTTTTCTCAACATTAGTGAAATATCCACTCCGTTACTAAATTATACAAAATTAAAGATTTGAAGTCAAGAACTGATGCAAAAACAACAATTATTATAAATGAATAATTAAATGTTATAACAATGCACAGTGCAAATTAATAGTTAATGAAGAGCAGTCCATTTTTATTTTCATGCCAAATTGTAACCTTCAAATGAAAACTTGAACACAATCTGTTCAGAAACTCTTTTGGTACCCTTTACAAGTTCTGGATTTGGAAGCTTTTTAATGATATCTTCAACAAGGACTCTGGATAAAGTCTGTGACTTTTCTGGAACAGCAAATCTTACCGATCTATCGCTATCAAATGATCGTTTCTTCTCAAGATATGTTATTTCTAATTCTCCATCATCAGAAGTTGTATTATCAATTCGAGCAATATAATGACATTTGTTTTTCAAACTTTTCAATTCAACCAAGACATAATCGCCAGTTTTTATATCTCCACCGGCATTAGAAGCACAACTGATATTTGATTTTCTTATTTTGTTATAAAATGTTTCTGGATTCATTCCGATTGAAAATTGAATAGCATCTGGATTCATTCCGATTGAAGGTTGACTAGTATCTGAATTCATTCCGATTGAAAGTTGACTAGTATCTGAATTCATTCCGATTTGAAATTGACTAGCATCTAGATTCATTCTGATTTGAAATTGACTAGCATTTGGATTCATTCCGGTTTGAAATTGACTAGCATCTGGATTCATTCCAATTTGAAATTGACTAGCATCTGAATTCATTCCAATTGAAGGTTGACTAGTATTTAAATTCATTCCAATTTGAAATTGACTAGCATCTGGATTCATTCCGATTTGAAATTGACTAGCATCTGGATTCATTCCAATTTGAAATTAACTAGCATCTGGATTCATTCCGATTTGAAATTGACTAACATCTGGATTCATTCCGTATGAAGATTTACTAGCATCTGGATTTATTTCAATTGAAGATTGATTAGCATCTGGATTCAATTCGACTGATGGCTAAAATAAGAAATTAAATTAACAAAATAAACTAGCAATAGATAATAAAATTCAATCAAAAAAAAAATGAAAGATAAAAGCAAGTCGACTTTTTTATTTTATTATTGTGAAAACTATTTTAAATTATCTTAACCTCAACTTTAAATTACTAATTAGCAAACTTTTATTAAATTCAGTATCTGACAACCAATTTCTTTAAAAAGTAAATTATTGGATTGAAATTATGATGCAATAACTTCCAAATCAAATTAATTAAATTTATAAAATGTTCATGATTAAATTAAATAAAATTATAAAAAAATAAATGATATTATTTAATCTCACCGAGTTTATAATAGCTGGAAATTTCTTTGTCTGAATGTCGTGATGATATACACAGCTCTGTATCGGTGTACAGCTGATGAACTTTCATCGTACCAGCGATTGCTGTTAATGACTGATGACAATAACTCGTTATTCTACCAATATCTGACCCTTCAATATAGTACAGTTTTATCTGTGAATCAGATTCACTCATCACCTTGAAAAGAGATTGTGCTGTTGTAATATCACAACCCATGTTCACCTTATCATCAGCTCGGCGTTTTAAGGCACCTCCAATGGCATCTGGAGCTCCTTTGCCATGCCCTGCTTCAAAAAAATTCCAACTTGCATCTGTGAATCCGAGCTTGTAGATTTGAGTCGAAAGAAGGTAGAAATTTTGTTTGTTCCGGTACTGCGTTGTTGGCCCATCAGAAAAGAAATGCAATGTGGTAATGCCAGGATAACTTTCACGTAAATTCTGAAGTATAGGTTCAATATGAGCCCAAATTGCTGATGGATCCTTACGCAAGGATTCAGAAATACTGGCAAATGAAATTAGGCCATTGTATTTGTACAACACACCTGTATGTATAGTTGCTTGTTGATTACTTGCTCCAAAATGGCACGTCTGTATTGCAGATGCATTTTTAAAACCATAATTTTCTGAGAAGTCTATATGCAATACTGCTTCAGAATGCTGTAAACTTTCTTTCAGTAGGCTCTAAATTGGTGCCTTATTATAAAGACATGACGGCACAGTTCATCACGAATCTGATTGGAAAATAATGTCTTCAATTCATTCAGTCCCTTTCTTTAAAACTTTTTCTGTTACCTTTGCAGTGTTTGATTCTCCTTTCTTCTCGTAAATTCGATTACACGTAATCCACTCATTCCAGAAAACAACTATGTCATCACCAGGAACTCCACTTTCATTAAAATTGACATCTTTATCAATGCATGTTTCGCATTTACGAAACATGCATTTTTTTCATCAACATCACAGCACACGTTCTGCAAAAAGTCTTCACAAAACTTTGATTTCAAAACCTTCAGCTGATAAAGTTTGTCAGCTTTTAGTTGTACATTGTCATGTTTTTTGCATAAACAAGTTTCTCTATCCTTTGATGTGGGCATGCGTACCCAAAACGGGCGAAGGCGGGTAAACATAGGGTATGAAATAATATTCTCAATATACTCTGCACAAAACTTTCCATGTAGGTTCATTAGTGTATCTAGGAGAAGGCGTTTCTGCTACTTCTGTTTATTCTTTGTTACGGTTTGTTTTTTACCAGTTGTTATCCTTGAATTGTCATCACGTTCATAAAATTCTAAAATATTCCGGCGAGTATCTTCATCAATAGCATCACTGCATTTTGCTCTTGGTGTATTTTTGTGTGTTGTAACTGGCAACCCAGATTTTTTGGCAAAGTTGATGTATTTTTTCAACAACATGTTACTCATGCAATGAGTTGCTTTACGATCTTTGTTATGTTGTTGTTCATGAGCAATAACATTATGATAAAACAAAGTTTTTCTTACATGAGGTGGTGCATCTGGAATTACACGAAGAACTTCAAACGTTTTAGACCGTGGTGTTAATGCAAAACTGGATGGTGTAATTTCATACGTGGATGGCTCAGATGCATCCGAAAGAAACGATGTAGATTAGATGGTGATGACGTGTTGGTAATCTTAGGGGATTTTTTTGCAAGAACTTTTTGAAGACGATAAAGTCTATGCTTGTACTTGTCTTTCAAACGATTTGCTTGCTGTAAATCTGAGGCAAGTTTTACTATTAATCTTGCATGCTTTTTGCGATTTTTCAACATTTTTTTGACCCCGTTCACTTTGTTCTGATATAGTTAGATGTTTTCCTGAAGTTGAGGGTGTCTGCGGAGGTGTCTGCATATTTTGAAGTCGTTTCTTAATTTTACGAGTTTCTGCTTTCTTCAAACGCCATTCTTTTCTTTTTAATCTGAGTTCGCGAGGAGATAAATCATCAACTAATTTTACTTTCTTTGAGCTCACTCTGTTGTGCCACCGGAGTCTTTCTTTTTTAAGTGCTTCTTCATTATTCTTTTCTTTCAATCGTGCACGATATTCTCGCTGAATTTGGGCCCGAGATTTTGGTGTAGACTTTGATTT